AGTATTCTAAACTGTATAAAAAAAATTGAAATCAATTGTGAACATCCTTTCCTTATATAGGACGGTCTCTCCTGTTATCTTACTCGCAATACTATCCCAAAACCCTCAGCGATCCCTTCCAAGGTTATGAAATTCTACGTTTCTATCTCTACGCTCATCGATAAGGATACGAATTTGAGAATTGGTCCATTCAATCATTTTTATGATATTAAAAAATAAGATATAGAGAAAGATTCTGCGTTGTTTTATAGACATTTTATACATTTGGAGTTATAAAGACTAAATCTTGGATTAAACCTCATAAGATTTAAAGTGTAATAAGGTGGAAAAATACATTCATTATTATGCATACTGTATATCAACAGTACATCAACAGTACATTAACCGTGACTACATTATGAATATAGTATTATTCAATCATAGTTCAACAGTACATCAACAGTATATCAATGGTATATCAACAGTACATCAACAGCACTTCATCCTAATAATGTCAGCAAATGAAATCTAGTAATATTTCTTATGTATGAAATTAATTTATTATCTATGAACGATCTTCCATAGAAAGTGCTTTTCATATATCCGGAGGATTTTTGAAGTATTATTTATCATGAATGGGTTAATTTATTATCTATGGGCAATCTTGGAGTATGAATGTGATTTTCGGCTATTTTTTTTTTCTAGTAAGTGATCAACATATTTTTTATCTATCTGTATGCTTTATATCAAAATAGTGAGTTAGAGAACTATCCCATGTACCTTCTATATTAAATCCTATATTTTCATATGACGCATATAATTAACCCATGAGTTATATATTTCACCCATGAGATAATCGCATGTTAATTAGGAAATTTCAATAAATTACATATGTGTCTATTCTGAGAGAATGAACTCCGTTCTAGCACTATTACCTTGTAATGACTCTTCGAGTCTAGCTCCGCTATTATATAAATTTTATCGCAACAAATATGTATCTTATTTATAAGTCAAATACTATATATAACCACATCAAGTTTAATAATATTCATAATATTCTGCGATTTTATTAAATATAGCCTATATTTCACTGCAGAGCAGGGCACTTCGTGCTTAAAAAAATGCACCAAGAACTCGATTACACAAAAAATGAATCCACTTATTCTAGAGTATATAAGTATTAAATCAAATAGGTCTAAAGCCTTAAATTCGATACAAATCACATAATCTAAAACACTATAAGTCTCTATTAAATCGTCAAATATGTCAAGTATCACTATTTCTATTATTATTGATAAAAAAGCTAAATCAGTGAAGCTCATTAATAATCGTCCTGGGTATGATATGAAATATGTAGAGTCATATATCTACGAATATTGTGGTATTAATAATTATCAACGATACTTTGATGAACTCTTCGAGACTGAAAGACAATATGATACTTTATCAGTTATTCGACCCAATGAAACTCCACAACAATGGGCTATTCAGGTCAGAGTTCCTTTACAAGAGCTGGTCTCTGAGGGGAAAAGAAGTGTATATCATGTACATTGTTTATTTGGTGGATTCGGAAATTCTAAGCTAATTAATCATGATTACTACAGGCCTAGAATCCATAAAGCAAATGTAGCGATATGTCTAGATTGTATGAAACTTATTCATATTGATAATGTAAAACCAACAAAGAAATTTCATTATGCTAGAAGTAGATATGTCGAAATTATCAAGCCAGAAGACTTGATGCAGAAACATTGGGATTATGAGTGTTCCAAACCTAAAACTAAGGATGCTTCAGCAAGAATTATACAAAGTGCTTGGAAACGATTCCGAGGAAGAGTACCATCAAATGCGCGACTTGTATGGAATAGCTTACCAAATGATAATACTCCAGATGATGAAAAGTTTCTAGGTTTAACGAGACATAAAATAAAAAATCCTCAGACTCAAGAACAATTTAATCAGTGGCGTACTAAATGGATTGAATTATATAAACAATGTAATTTAAATATTCCTTTGGATATTTATGTAAGAGAATATGAAGAATATTATATTCCATATAATTGGATAGATTCTAAAAAGAGTCAATTGCGGTCTAGATTCCAAAAGCGACTTTCAGAAATAGAAGCGTAGATATATTAATTATTATGTGTCAGAGACACCAGCTCCGCTATACACATTTATTTATTCGATTTGTTTGATTTAATAATATATAACTTATTCATATATATTCCATATTTTTTGCCTGCAAACTTTTTGCGCGCAAACTAATAATCAATGTTTCATCCTGATTACAACCCCATTATAGCGAAACTTCCAAAAAGTCTGGTCAAGAGAGCGTATCATAGGCTTTTATATCACTCTAGGTCTCCTGTTACCCCAGAACGGATTTCTGAAAAATGTGATCGAATTGAGAATTATTTGTGCCATACATTAGAGGTATATGAGAAAGGATTAAATAGAAAGCGTAAAAAACAAATCCAAATTATTGAACCACTTGAAAATTTATCGTATAATAACAAAGCTAGTGACGAGACACATATAAATATGGTTGACCAAGAAATTCAAACTTCAGATACTAATAACTGTAAATGCGATCAGACACATAAGTGTCCTTGTGAGGGGGAGATCAATCGCCGGGTTAAGAAAGAAGTAGATATTTTATTTCAGCGATTGCTTGCATATAATGAAGAAACTTTTGGTAAATTTATGCGAGAAATTACTATAGAGCATGAAAAGCGGGTTAATGAAAATAAGAAATTGCAATATAAGGTTGAAGAAAAGAGGATAGAATTGCAAGAAGCTGAAAAATACCTTGAATATCTGAAATCTCGATCCAATTAGATAGAAAGATCAAGAGGTTGGTCCCATCCTTTGCGAATATAGAGCGGATCCTCTTTCGCTCTAGTCAAATCAATAACAATAAATTCTCTACCTTGTAAATTTTTATCAAGTATATCAACAACATCGCGCCATTTTTTTGTATATCGTCGGGCAATGTTAACTAGCTCATCATATGTGCCCGCGCCATTAAATAAACAAATGTAATCCAAATTTTTTCTTATTTTTCCAGGACAGTCGAAGAAAGATTGTGTGACATATATCGAGCTAATATTAGAGTGGCGCCCTTCGGTAAAATATGGAATAATTCTATCTTGTATTTTTTTGGGCTCATTGCATACATCTTCGAATATAGCAACTGTTCCTCTTTTGGGAGAGAATTCTTCTATTTTTGGTATTTTGTCAGGTTTCAATGCTCGAAATGTAATATCTTCACGATATGGCTTTGGACTATTTGAAATTATTCGGTAACAATCACGCAAATGTCTATATTTTGGCTCCTTAAGGTGGTGACCGAACAAAACCAAATCATCATTCTTAATATATCTTGTTCCACCCTTTTTTCCACTAAACATTCGAAACATTTTATTCCCAAGTAAAAGACTAATAATCATATTAGTTTTCCCTGATCTAGTCCGCCCTGATACTAGGACATTGAAAGGCCACTGCGGACATGAGTTAATACCATTAAAACGTTCTGGATTTGTATACTCATCGATATTGAGTACAAAGATCTCACATGGGTCAAGTTTATTATGTGTCATATTTATCTTATGAGTTTATTTCTTATGCGATAAATAACCTCTCTCTTGTAATTTGCTTTTTATGTACGGAAATAAATCACAATCGAATGCCACCTCAATGAGATCTATACCTTGCTCCTTGCATATATTCCGCTTTTTTTGGTCGCGTAATCTCTGTGACTCTAGGTCAGTCTTGCCATTGGGGTGAAAGTGTTTTGGAATAACACGAAAATGTTGGACGCCATGGAATTCAAATGCTAATTTTAACTCTTCATTATATCCGTCTAACTGCATCCCATTCAAAAATGACGGTTTACATGATGGAAATTTCTTACCTAATAGATCTTCAAAAATATATCTTACATTTCTCTCAGTGGTGTGATGACATAAGGGACACCATTCAAATTTCGTAGCTATTAATGGATATGGGTACTCAAATTGATGTTTACCATTTTGACATGACCAAAGGTATACATTCTGATCATTAATTCGACCAGTTTTAGCTAAAATACTTCCATCACGTTTCTTGGCATATTGTTGGACCCTGTCAAATTCACTACTAGAAACACGAATGAAATGTATTGATCCAGAAGGATGATATTTTCGTATAAAATTGTCAGGTGGATATTCGACTTCTTCAGGATTTTCTATTACTTGGAGTTCTTCTCGTTTGAATGGTCGATGTGGGTTACGTCCCATCAAATGAGCAGTAGATTCAATAGGCTCATCTTCGAGATAGTATAAGACTGGCTGTGGTGGATTCCTTCCAACAATAACCTTTTTAATACGATAAACACGCAACGAAAAGTATGGATCAGTTTTCCTATGAACGTGTCCTCCTTCCAACTCACCCGGTTTTAATAAATATCTTACAGTTGTTCCTTTTTGTAATCGCAGTTCATCTTTCCCAATAGGTCTTTTAGGTTTGATAGTTACTTTGGGAATCACTTCCCGCAATGTCATAGCATGGTCAGGGCTCATACCGATTAATCGCGTTTTATTATTATTCATATAGTTGATAATTTTTCGAAGTATCTTTTTCCATAATTTTGAGCGTTCACCTTCTTTGAGTTTTCCTTCTATAGCATATTGAATTTTATATATAAGTTTTGCCAAATCTTGTTTGAATTTTTTTACTAACGCTAAGCTTTCAAAACTATAAAGGTCTACAACTCTTATAGGAACATTATAACGTTCCATCCCTCGAGAGAATGCTCCTTTGAACTCCCCGGCACCATCTAACATCAACAACGCTGGCCATGTGAGAGGATTTTTGGGATCATTGTATATTTTTTCGATCGCGTTCCAAACTTCTAAACTATTCTTTGACGTCAACGCTACTGCACATTTAAATCTTGTCGCCACGTCTATCAGCACCAAGGTGTGTAAATACACTTTCCCTCTTTTCTGATCATCATAAACATGAGGTAATAGATCACATTGGTGTAATTTATTAGGAATTCGACATTTAGAAAAGCTAGCCCGAGCCTTAATCTTTGGTGGATGACGATATATTTGGTAATCATACTGATTTTCTAACCACTTTGTTATATCTTTGAGTCGGAAATGACCATACCCTTCTTTTTTGCACGCCTTTTGTAGAGCTTTCACATTCGGATAAAACCCGGGAATATTATAATAGAGTGCACGACAAACTATAGCTACCTCAGCATATGGATCTATATATATAGTAGGTATACTCATTTTGGCTATGCCTTTACTTTGTATCAATATATTATGCCGTAAAAAATAGCTATGGCATTTCGTCAACCACACCGCAATCGAATATCTCGTGGGCCAAGCTCTGATCGGGAATTGGAATTGGAGCAGGTAAATCAAGCTTTGAGGGACGAGTTATCTAACGAAGTTTCAATCAATAAGTCGAATGAGAAATACATAAAGGATCTGGAACGTAAATATACCCGGTGTGAGAAAGAAATCCAATCTCTCAATAAAGAACTGGAACGGCTCGAGAACGCTTCGGAGAAAGAAAAGGCGGAGTTGAGATCGGAGATATCATCCCTTAAAAGAAGCTTATATCAAGCTAAAAAGGAAATCCGAGATAAGGTATCCTATACCGATAATATAGAGAAGCAATTACAAGAATCAGAAGAGCGGGTTCAAAATTTAAGGCATAGGTTTAAAGTTATTTCTTCTCGAAGAAGCTCTCCAAGTTTATATAATTCAGAAGAGGAAGATACAGATATGGCACATATAGATCCCTTTATAAATATCACTAGAGGATTAAATCGACTTGAAAACCATTTCACGGGGGGTACACCATTAAATAATCCTGCCAATATTATCCAAGGTATGTATGGTACTTTAAATACTATTCGGGCTAATTATCAAAGAATAGACCAGGATTTGGATGATGTCACAAATCAACGAGATGCTCGAGATGCTCAAATAGTACAATTACAGCAAGATGTCAATTATTTTAGACAGCAAAATAA